AAAGACAATGTTCTACATTCTACCTTGGTGAGCAGTGTCTGGGGTCTTAAAAGCCTGTGAGCAGCCATCTAAGATACTCCACTGGTCTCACCCCTTCAGGAGCAAGGGAGAATGAAGAGAACAAGATACAAGGAAAAGACTAGTCCAAAGGACTAATGGACCACAGCTACCACGGCCTCTACCAGACTGAGTCCAGTACAGCTAGATGGTGCCCAGCTACCACCATTGACTGCTCTGACCGGGATCACAGTAGAGGGTCCTGGACAGAACTGGAAAAGGATGTAGAATAGAATTCTAACTCCTCAAAAAAGACCAGATTTACTGGTTTGACAGACTACAGAAACCCCAAGAGTATGGCCCCCGGACACCCTTTCAGCCTAGTGGTGAAGCCCCTCCCAAAATTCACCATTCAGCTGGGGATTGGACAGCCTCATAAAACAAAATGGGACTAATGAGGCATAGCAGTCCAGGGACAAGGGCTGGAAGGCAGGAGGGGACAGGAAAGCTGGTGATAGGGAACCCAAGGTTGAGAAGGGACAGTGTTGACATGTCGTGGGGTTGTTAACCATTGTCATAGGGCAATATGTGTACTAACTGTTTAATGAGAAACTATTTGTTCTGCAAACCTTCATTTAAGGTTAAAAAAAAAAAAAGAATTATCTATGTGAGACCAAATTGACAACAGCAACTCAAAAGGTTTGATGAGAAGCCTAGGGGACAGTGAGTTGAAGACAATGGTGATGGAATAATTTGGAAAAGGAGAGTGAGAATAGCAGCACAACTGGAAGAATGCAATCGATGTCACTGAATTGTACATGTAGAAACTTTCAAAATGGTGTAACTTTGGCTATGTATACTTTCACCAAAAAAAAAGGTCCTCCAAGGTCAAGAAGGGAGAGTGTTGACATGTCGTGGGGTTGCTGACCAATGTCATAAAACAATGTGTACTGACTGTTTAATGAGGAAACTATTTGTTCTGTAAACCTTCATCTAAAGTACAGTAAAAAAAATAAAAAGTGGATTAGTGGTTGCCTAGAGCTTCGGGGGTAGGAGGTTGGGAGTGGCTGCTAATGGGTAGGAGGTTTCTTTTGGGGTGATGAGAATGTTCTGAAACTAGTGGTGATGGGTTGCACAACGCTGTGAATATAGTAAAAACCACTGAATTGTAGGCATTGAAATGGTTAAAATAGTGGATTTTATGTCATATGAATTTTATCTCAATAAAATGTTTTTTTCAAAAAAAAATCAAGAAATCAGGCTGAGTACAGGCCCCATCCCAGTCCTTCCTGGAGCTGGTGGGAAGGGCTCGGCCCGCAGGCAGCTCAGCTTCCTCCTGGGGAACACAGGACTGTCCCTCTATTCACAGGAGGGAACTTCCCTGGAGCCTTGAGGCTTCCCCAGACTCCATTTTGTCAGCTGTAAAACAGGGTCACTTGGGAAAAGTCAAGAAACCCCACGTGCAAATCCTTACCGGAGCCTGGAGCATGGTTCCCAGGAGCAGCCATGAGTAGCCCTGCGCAGCACCCCAGTCCTCCCCACTCTGCCCTTATCACAACTGGCAGGAAGTCAGGAATGCAGGGAGGGAAGCCACTAAGCTCCTCCCACCTCGTGCGCCATGCGGGTGGTGCCCCAACTCTGGTATTCTGGGGATGCTGAAGTAAACATTCTAGTGAACTTGTTTACGACAACCTTGCGAAGAACAACTCCAGCGAAACTGGAACAGCTGAGCCTTGGCGCGCAGGAACAGGGTCACGGTGTGCTCACTTTGCCCAGTGCTGCCCAGGAGGGGAGGAAATTGGGGGGCGGGGGCTTCCTGACAGTGAGACAATGCGGCTGCTCTGCCAACAGCGAATCCAAGAATGCAGCCCTTCGTGACCAGCTGGGAGAGGCCATGGGAAGACGCTTGCACAAGCTCAGGATTGGGGGGACCCGACCCCGGGGTCCTCACTCCGTTTCCATCAAAGTTATCCTGCTCTGTCTCCTGGCAGGCCTCGGGGAGGGGCTGGGGCCAACCTGGGGATGGACGGAGGGACCCATAGGCTCCCCAAAATTAGCCCAGCCTGCAGGAATGTCCCTGGTGGGTGGGTCAGAGAAGAGGGTGAGAGATTGAGAGCAAGGCAAAAAGCAGAAACCACCTAACAGTCCAAACAGGTCTGTTCTTTCCGGAGGCAGCGGGGCGGGCGGGCCCGGCCCGACTCAGTCCCCAAGGAGGAGGGCCCGAGACAGGAAAAAGAAAGCCACAGGAAGCATGACTAAGTTTCTTTGTAAATAGCTACATACTGTGAAAGTGCCCGAAATGCAAACGCAAAGACAACTCTCCCGCTGTTTTGAGTTTTCTGAGCACGTACCTGCGGGTCAGTGTGTGTTCCGGGGGGGGGGGGTGTGGAACACAGGGACCCCTGAGGTTCCCAGGTAAACGTTTCTTAACTGTCCTCACGCCCGAGTCCACGTGCTTCTCAGCTGAACAGCTAAAGCACATCTGCAGACACTCAGCACTGCCCGGGGCTGCTGCACACGGCCCCCACGCCGCTCCGGGCCCCCCATAAGCTGGAGGCAGGGACTGGGGGTACCCTGGTATCCTGCAGCGACACTGCCGCCCCGAGGTGGGGGGAAGGCGGACCCCCCAGCCCAAGCCCGGACAGGATTTTCACCCAACTCAGCTTGACTTTATTAATGAATCAAAAAACAGTTTCCAAAGAGTGGAGGCGATTTTCCCGAGAGGTGGAGCCTCACACACCGGTTTCTAGTATTTCCCGGGGTTGTAAGCCGTTCCGCCCACGTTGAGGGAAACCAGCGGGATAACAGTCCACAACCCTCCCGCCGCCTGCCGTACGCGGTCGCCCGCCCCCTGCGAGCATGCGCGGTCGCGGACAACAACAAATCTGTAGGCCCGGCCCCGCCCCAGCCCGCTCTCGCCCGCTCTTCACCCCGGCCTCCTATTGGCCTGCCGTGGCACGCGTTGGCGGCGCCAGAGAGGTCGACCAATGAGAGCGCTGGTAGGCGTGGCCGGGGCGCGTGGCGGCGAGGCACGGCGGGGCGCGTCCATTGGCCGGCTGGGCGAGGGGAGGAGCCGCTGGGGCAAGGGGAGGAGCCGCTGCTGGAGACTACCCCGCCGCCAGCGTGATGAGCTTCAGCCGTCTCTGCCGCCTGCTGAAGCCGGCGCTTCTGTGCGGAGCCTTCGCCGTGCCCGGCCTGGCCAGCACCATGGTGAGCCGCGGCCCGGCCAGGCCGTTGGGCTGGCGCGCGGACCGGGTCTCCCGGCCTCTGGGAGTCGTCGGTTTCTGTCCCCAGGCCGGAAACCCCTCAGTCACTTTCCCCGCAGCATCTGCGCCCTGGCCAAGCGCTAGCCAGTGCATTGGCAGGGCTGCCACCGGGGGACGCTCGGCCGGGAGGACGGGGCCGGGGGGGCGCTCGGCCGCTGCGGGTGGTCCGTCGCTTTCTGGTCCTGGGGCGGGGACCCCTAGGTCACCTTACCCGCAGCCACAGGGCCGGACCCGAGCGCCGGGCCTGGTCGTGAGGGCGCTCAGCGGGAGGCTGGGGATGGGGGGCAGTTGGGGGCCTGGATCGCCATCCCCGTGGCCCGAGGGGCGGCGAGTGACCGGGGCCGGGCGCGAGGGTGGCGAACGCGGGTCATGAGACCGCTGAGCGCCTTGGGCCGCTCGCCCCTCCCCCGCCGGCTCGCTCCCCCGGGGCAGTGGCGTCACAGTCCCGGCGCCCTGGTTACCCGTCCTTTGTCCGCCGGGCGTGGCGCTCGCAGAGCACTGGCGCGGCCCGACACCAACCGAGATGGGCCGCGCAGTCGCCGGCTCCCCGAGGTGCCGGGGAAGGGGCCGGGGCGGCCGGCGGCGCGGAGCCCGGGGCAGGCGGAAGGCCCACGCGTGCAGGCGCAGAAAGGTGGGCCCTCGGCGGAAGCTGGCGTGCGGCGCGGGAGCGGGAGCGGCTAGGCCCGCATCCCTGTGGAGTCTCGAGCTCTCTACAACCCATTGTGGTCGAGTCGATTTCGACTCATAGCGACCCTGTAGGACCGAGTTGAACTGCCCCCTAGGTGTCTAAGGAACAGCTGGTGGATTCGAACTGCCAACCTTTTGGTTAGCAGATGCGCTCTTAATCACTACTCCAGCAGGGTTCCCTCGAGCTATCTGGGGGGCTTCATTGTCTCCTGCAGCCTAGGTCCAGCTTGCCGGACGCGTGCGCACTGCAGGAGGGGGAACCCGCACGTCCACTTTACCATGCCCCGGGGCCCTGGTTTCCTGGGGCGCGGATTCCCCGGATACCGGGCTGGGCGCCCCCGCCTCTGCCCCGGGTGCTCAGCGCCCCTTGCCTTGCAGTGCGCGTCCCGGGATGACTGGCGCTGCGCCCGCTCTATGCACGAGTTCTCGGCCAACGACATCGACGGGCACATGGTGAGCCTCGACAAGTACCGGTGCGTACCTGCCGCAGGGAGGGGATCGAGGGAGATGGGAGCGGGGGCCAGCGTGGCCTGACCTTGGCCCTGTAACCTTGCCTGCAGGGGCTTCGTGTGCATCGTCACCAACGTAGCCTCACAGTGAGGCAAAACAGATGTAAACTATACTCAGCTCGTCGACCTGCACGCCCGATACGCTGAGTGTGGTTTACGGATCCTGGCCTTCCCCTGCAACCAGTTCGGGAGACAGGTGCGTGACTCGGGGCACTGGACAGGCGGAGGCCTGGGGAGGTGGGCGTGGGACCTAACGCAGAGCCCCAGGACAGGGAGGAGGGAAGGGTCTGGGGGTGGGGGCAGGGCTCCGGAAAGTAGGGTGAGGCGGGGAGGTGGACCAGAGGGGGCTGCCAGGCCCCCTCCCAACTGACCCTCAGCACCCCGGTCGCTGCAGGAGCCAGGGAGTAACGCTGAGATTAAAGAGTTCGCCGCTGGCTATAACGTCAAATTCGATATGTACAGCAAAGTCTGCGTGAACGGGGACGACGCCCACCCGCTGTGGAAATGGATGAAAGTCCAGCCCAAGGGGCGGGGTATCCTGGGAAAGTGAGTGCCAGGGGGGTCTGGGGAAGGGGCGGGGAAGGACTGTGGGTGGGCAAGAGGAGGGCCTGTGGGCTGGGCGTCCCTGGTGACCCTGTGCTTCTTTCCTAGTGCCATCAAATGGAACTTCACCAAGGCAAGTGGTGTGTCCAGGCGAGTGCCTCCTTCCTTCTCCTGCCCATGTCAGTTTCGCCCTTGTCCTCATGCCCCATCCCTCCACCCCCTGACCTCCCTGTCCCTCCCTGACACGGTCCCCCCTTCCCGTGTAGTTTCTTATCGACAAGAACGGCTGTGTGGTGAAGCGGTACGGCCCCATGGAGGAGCCCCTGGTAGGTGCTGCTCCGGGGCCCTGGGTTGGGGCAGGGGATGTGGGGAGAGGAAGACCCTGACCTTCATATCCCTCCCCACAGGTGATCGAAAAGGACCTGCCCTGTTTCCTCTAGTCCCGCGAGCGCCCACCCGTGCACCCCCTCCCTGCCTGTCGCCTCGGCGCCCCCCGAGCCTTCCACCCGGCACCCATGACGGCCTGCTTGCAAACCAGCCCACTGGTGGGGCAGACCCGAGAACCTGGCGTGCACCTCTGCCGGAGGAAAGTCCCGGGGGCCCGCGGTGCGGCGCCCCCCTCCTTGCCTTGTGGGAATAAAACATTCAGATTGGCCTGCTGGCACCTCCTGTCTCTGAGGGGGCGGGTGGGGACCTTCTGCCCTGGGCTCCTCCTGGTTCAGGGGCAGGTGGCTCCCCCCCGCCCACTCCCCGCCTCAGATCTGGGTCATTGGGCTCCAGCCCTTTGCTCCTAAGCCTTCTGGGCATGGCAAAGCCAGGCACGGGGAGAGCGGATCCTGAGCAGATAATCCCTCCCAACTGGCTGCTGTCCCTGAGCGACATTAACCCATTCGAGCAGCGGTTTGGGGCTGGCCCTGGCTTCAGTCCAGCCCGTAGATCCTCAAAGCAGTGTGTGCAGTGTGGGTCAGGACAGGACACCTGGGGTGGGGAGTTGGGCCAAGCATGTAGGCCCGGGGCCTGGCCTTGTGGGACGATTGCCTGCGGCCCCGCCTGGCTGAGTCCAGGGGCTGTGGCCTCAGCAGGCTGCAGAAGAGTGTACCAGCCTCCCTTCACAGGGAACTTAGGAGACCTGCCCCCTCCTTTTGTAGGGTGGGAGGTGGGCCTGCCCAGGGGATTGCTGGGAGAGCCAGCAGCTGGGGATGGGGACCCTCAGGCTGGGAGGGGGCTGTGAGCCGTGGTTGTGGGGCCTCCGGCTGAAGTGCCCCCACTCTAGTGGAGCCTAGGCTCCCACGGACAGGGGGCACATCTTTCTCCAGGCTCCCTCCTGAGACAGGCAGCACAGGACTGGGGCCTGGCTCTCTTGGCAAGCCCCCCACTACTGGGGTGGCCCCTCCCATATGAACCAATCCCCTTCCTGAGGAGGCTGTACCCCAGATACTGGAGAAACGATTCCCAGACTCTGTCACGGGGGTCCCAGTTGGGGCTCATGGCTCCAATGGCATTGGGACCCGATTCCGGGTACTCTCGGGTGCCAGGCCCCAGGTCCAAGACAAGCCAAAGGCTGGGTGGAGATTCAATGGCCACACAGTGGGCAATGGCCACACAAGGCTCCTGGAGGAGAGGTGAGCCCTTGTGTCCCAAGGAGCAGCGGTGGGCCTGGAGATCAGGCAGCCATTGACAGGATGGCTCCGAGTGGGGTGTTTGTACTCCCAGGGTCAAATAGCAGAGTCACCACCCTGGGACCCTTGCCATCCCCTGTGCGCCCCGGGCAGCCCCGCCCCTTCAGTCCTTGGCCACCCTCCAGCTCTAGTTCCCCGAGCAGACACAGAAACGGCCTGGCCGGAGGAGCACAGTGTGGGAAGTAGTCAAAAAGCACATATATTTAAAAAAGATCTCTTTACATATATACACAAGAATTCATTATAAATACACTATAGAAAGGCCCCTGCCCACACTGAGCAGATTCCCAGGGCCTGGGGGAGGCGGCCAGGCAATAATTTAGGGAGCAAGAGGCAGCTGGGCAGGTGGGGCATTGCATATATTAACGGCGTGTGCCCCTGGAGCTGACAGTTGGTGGGGGGCCTGAGCACCTGGGGTTTCCTGAGTCTCCAGCTCTTGGGACCACCCAGTTTCACGGATTTCTGGGATCCACCTAACCAAGCACAGGGCCTTGTAAGGTGGGTGGGGGTCCCTTGGCCCAGGGCCTCTGCCTGTGGTCATGGGGGGGGTCAGGAGAGGAGAGAGGGGCAGAAGGTCCTGGAACCCCACTCCCAGGACCTGTGTTGGCCCTGGTCACCCCCAGTCCTGAGCAGGGTGGTCTGCATGGGGCCCTGATGACCCCCCCCACCCCCAGAACTGACCCACGTCTGGAGGGGCCGCCCAGGCACCAGGCGTCCTGGCCAGCCCTTGGAGGGTCGGCTGGGGGAAGGCACTGAAGTGAGGCCCGGTGGGCTGGATGGGGCCGTGCCCCCTCAGTAGTCACAGGGAACCTCGACCCTGCTCACCGCCCGATTCCTTGGGGCAGGGGGCGAGGAGGGGGGAACGACTTGCACTCATGTAGACGAGGGCCACGTTACACATGAATAAACTTCCGTTCGGAAGGCGCCCCGCCGCTGGGGCTGTGTGTGCTGGGCCTACGAGTTGGGATAGGGCGGCCCGAACTGGATGACGCTCTGCCGCTCTGGGCCCCCGCCGCCTCCGGCGTTCCCCGCAGCGGCGCCAGCTACCTGTAGGCCCGGGGGCTCGGCGGCCGGAACGGCGCGCAGCGAGCGCAGCATGTCCTCTAGCACCTCCTTGAAGTTGATGTTACAGCCTAGCTGCAGCAGTTCGCAGGGGTCAGTGGGGAGCGCTCCGGAATCTGACGCGCCCAGATGCAGGCTGGGACCGGCGGGCGCCGGCGGCTCCACGGGCAGGGGCGGGAAGGCGAAGTGCGGGGCCGGTGGGAAAGGCTCGGCCGGCGGGCTGCAGGTCAGGTCCAGCACCTCG